GCGATACAAATGATGTTGCTTTGATAGTGGCTGGTGCGATACTGCTGCACCTTCGGGAATGTTTAAATATATCCTTGCTTACTTTGTTGGAGTGGAAATGATTTTGGATGCGTTAGGTCTGGTTTATAGAATTCTTAGCGGATGTTTTGGTGGTAGAACCTTGTGCATAGTGAATGTAAATGACAAGATTTATCTAAAGATAGAATTACACACAATAAATAGATCTAACTAGCCATGTACTCTAAGGGGTGCATTACCTTATTATACCTGCTTCATAGGCATTCTACTGTGACTCCGTCTCTTTCATTTCTCTGTATTATCAAGTCGCTGTGTGTAACTACATGGATAGTTACGCCTATTGTCATTCTTCGCTGGTGAGTTGTCGGTCTAGATGGTCAACAGTCATGACAATTGACCTTTGCAAATGTTGACCTTCCTGCCCTTGTATGGGCTGATCCGATAATGCTGCTAGTGCTGCTTCGATAGTGACAGGTGCGATATAGCTGCACCTACGGGAATGCTGAAGTCGATTTCTTTCTTACTCCAACACTCCCCTTCATTCCTGGAGGTGCTCCACGTGGCGCTTTCGCATGACCTCACACAATTCCGAGCAGTATTGGAACTTCTGACGTGGCAGCTTCTTTGTCAGAAAGTCATTTGCCATTTCGCAAATTGGGCAGTAGGTGAGCTGGACTTTCCCTTTGTCGATTTCGTCCTTAACGAAGAAGTCATGTAGGGCAATGTGTTTCGTGCAGTTGACGAAGCCGGGTTTGTTCGTGATCTTGATCGCACTTTGGTTGTCGCATAGTAACTTGAATGACCTGTTCATCACCATTTTTGTTTCATACAAGAGCTCCGTGAGATAGAGTCCTTCGCAAACTGCTGCACTTGCTGCGATCAATTTTGGTTCTGGTGATAAAAGGGCGATTTGCTGTTGCTTCTGTGAGTTCTAGGAGATGGTTCCAGCATGCTCAAGTCTGAAAATGAAGCATGTGTGGGACCTTCTGCTATCTATATCCCCAGCGTGGTCAGCGTCCACGTAGCCCGTAAGCTACATGTTAGTTGTTAGGTCCGCTTTGTAGGTGAGACCGACGTCGGGTGTAGAGCCAAAGTATTGCAGGGCGCGTCGTAGGTCCGCCATATTCTTCCCTTAAGGTCGTCGCAAGTATTGGGCAAGCTAGCTTGCAATGTAAGACAAGTCTGGGCGGCATGTGACGGCGACAAGGTAGACACCCGAGTTGCTGCTGGTAGAGACGATAGTCGGTAGCAGAGAAAGGGGTGGTATTGGGCTGATGGTCAAGAGAAGGAGTGCGAAATGGGGTAGTGATGCCGACGGGAGCAATGCTGAATTTCTTGGCGAGAGTCTCGGCGTATTTCGCGGCAGAGAGATGAATCGTTTGTCAGAGGTCCACTGGTGATCCCCGATTGATCCTAGGGAAGGGTTACAGGCACGTTGGCCTGGGGGGTTATGGGCGCACTTACCCGCTACACAAACAAGCCCTTTTATCCCAGTGGTTAGTGGCTGGGATTTTGACATGGTATCAGAGCGAAGATCTCGGGTTCCAATCCCGGTGTGTGCACTTCAGGCATCCCAGTGCAGGGGGGTGTCAGAGGTCCACCGGTGATCCCCGATTGATCCTAGGGAAGGGTTACAGGCACGTTGGCCTGGGGGGTTATGGGCGCACTTACCCGCTACACAAACAAGCCCTTTTATCCCAGTGGTTAGTGGCTGGGATTCTAACATTGTTTCGGTTGTTTGAATGACGTTAAGGCCAAGAATTGAGTGATGCCATGATCCACCATCTCTTCTAGCTTCTGCTTGATGTCACGCTCGAAGCGGACGAGCAGCTCTACGTTGTCTGCGGTTTACAGCAGGTTGACCATGTAGGTGACGAGCAGGATAGAGTGGCCTCGAGGACTCGAGGCGGTACATCCCCTGGTTGTGGGGAAGTTGCTGGAAGCCGAGTCTGATTAGCATGGTATAGAGGTATTGCTGCCACAGTAGCGGTGACTGCTTGATGCCATAGAGGGATTTTTGGAGAAGGCACACGACATCGCCGCTTTCCTCGAAGGCGTGCGGCTGCTCGACGTAAATGATAGCATCCTCGACATGTTGGAGACGTCGATCTGCGTAACGGGCGTTGCTTTACGGCGGCGATGCAGATTAAGAAACGTAGAGACATGTGGCCACCCACTGGTGCAAAGGTTTGGTCGAAGTCGATGTCGTGTGTCTGCTCGAATCCGCGCACCACCCAGCGTGCTTTGTACTTCTTGATTGATCCGTCTGGGAGCTGTTTGATGCGGAACACCCATTTTCCCGTGAGAATCTTCCTCCCTTTGCGTATCGGCGTAGTACCAGCTTCTAGGTGCCGCGCCTTTGGAATGCAGCTACTTCTGCGGCCATGGGTGCTCTCCACTTCTCTGCATCGGGCTCGTTTGGAACCTAGCTAATGGTGGTGGCCTCGACCAGCTACTGGTTAACCCGGACGGCGACGGCAAGGCCGAGGATACAAAGGCCGGTGAGGTTGGATTCAGCTGCATTGGTAACATGGACCATGTCCTCGTCGTCGCCAGGAATGTCGCGAACGGTGTCCCGAGAAGAATCGCGAGCGGGATCAGGGTGAGTGCATTTCTCCACGTGTGTAGTCATGTTGGGCATGTGCTACTTCGTGTTAATATATTTCGGTCGGGAAGAATGCTGATGTACCGAGCTCCTCCGTAACGGGTACGAAAGGTGTCTCCCCTTCTATTGGTCCCTACGGCTGTTCTCCTTCCATGTCAACTTTGTCCTGATCATTGGCGTAACTGTGCTCCCTGTAGAAGATGTTGCATGGTGCGCTCCGTGCAGTGCAGTCTTGTCAATACAGTGGCAGGGTCAGCCTTTCGTAGAAGATGCAGTCACGTGAACGCGTGACTTGGTGGGTGGCGACGTTGAGGATGGTCCAAGCGTGAAACTCCGATTCGATTCTGAGGTGAATGCCCCATCGGGCACGGTCTTCGAATTTTCCGGTCCGGGCAGTGTGGGGGCGGTATTGTACCATGCATCCTAAGATTCAGAGCATGCGCGTGTCGTGCCACTCGTGAGGTGCCTGGCGGAGACCATGAACTGGCCGCCGGAGGCTCCACTGGGTACTTGCAGGAAACGACCCAGTGAAGCCAGGTGGTCGGCGCAGCCAGATCTCCTCGTGCAGGCTGCCCTGTAAGAAAGTTGTGCTGAAGTCAAGAGAGTGAAGCTCGCAGTCACGTTGAGCGGCGACGTGCAGCAGAACCTGAAGAGTGGTCATCTTCGGGGTAGGGGAGAAGGTCTGGAAGTAGTCAACTCCCTGTCGTTGACTGAAGCCTCGTGCATCGTAACGCGCCTTGAAGACAGGCGAAGAACCCAGCGGCCGCTTCACCCTGAAAATCCACATGTCACTGACGATGCTCGCCCCAAGTGGGGGAACCTCGTCGACATAAGTGCCTGTGTACTTCTAGGATGCCATCTCTGCGTCCACGGCTGTCGGCCACTGAGAGGAGTAGGGACCCTCAATCGCCTCTGCATAAGAGCGCGGGGTCGGGATGTCTGGCGCATCCGGGTCTCCCTCAGGTGCAATCAACATGGACACGAGATGAGGTACAGCAGCTGCAAAACACTCAAAGTCCTCCTGCCTGTCCTCAACGACGTCCGTGCCAAGAACACACTCACCCCCGACGGACGGAGGACAAACAGACTCAGACTCAGCAACAAGACTAGCGGCGTAGTCTAGACGACAGGCGATAGAAAAGCCAACAAGCTCAGCAACTAAGGCTGACGCAGCAGTGGACTCAAAGGTGTCGCGATATATATTTATATATGTTTATAACTGCCTGTAGCTTTAGCTCTAGTGTAGTTATGATTCCTTGTTGGTGGTGCACCTTTGCTAGTTTGCTATATGTACCTTGTGTGCTATAGTGAACAACACACTTTCTCACTTTCCCTTGGTGACAACCACCTCGACACCCGCTTGGCCTAGGCTACTAAGCCTAGGCCCTTAGTAAATCCCGGTTCCTAGTTAACTTAGTATTGTAACATGGTATCAGAGCGAAGGTCTCGGGTTCGAATCCCAGCGTGTGCACTTCGGGCATCCCAGTGCGGGGGGGTGTCAGAGGTCCACTGGTGATCCCCGATTGATCCTAGGGAAGGGTTACAGGCTCGTTGTCCTGGGAGGTTATAGGCGCACTGTCCCGCTACTTAACAAGCCCTTTTATCCCAATGGTCTAGTGGTTGGAATTCTGACATGTCAGAGGTCCACTGGTGATCCCCGATTGATCCTAGGGAAGTATTACATGCTCGTTGTCCTGGGGGGTTATGGGCGTACTGACCCACTACTTAACAAGCCCTTTTATCCCAATGGTCTAGTGGTTGGGATTTTGACATGGTATCAGAGCTAGACCGTCCTATGGGCCCACCGCCCCGTGCCCCGATCTAGTCCGTAGTGCCCATTTGCCTCGCTCGCGTCACCCATTTTGCCCCGTGCGTCACCAGTTTTCGCACCCGCGCTTCACCCGTTCTCTGCCCCGTGCATAGCTCGCCAGCCCACTAGCGCGCAGCAGACGCATGCGCACGTGCAATCGTAGCCGCACATGCGACCGCACGCACGCGCATCATTAACCGCATGCACGTGCAGCATTAGCCGCACGCACGTGCGGCATTAGCAGCAGGCACCACGGCCATAGCTGCACGCACGCGCAGCAATAGCCGCTCGCACGCGCAGCTCGTCAGCTGCGCTACCGTCTCACCCGTCCCCGCTGACCCACCCTGTGCCCGCTGTACCACCCGTTCCAGTCACCTCATCCTGAAGTCAGCCACCCGACCAGCTACTTTACACTGCCCAAAACCGCACAGCACCGCAGAGAATCGGGAATGAAGGGGACAGCGTCCGTGACGGTCGTCGCGGCCCTTCCCCCCCCCCCCCCCCGTCCCGCTTTCTTCCCTCCCGTCGCCTCGCTCCGCCCGTCGCATTCCCCCACCCCCCTGCCCGTCACCCCCCCCGTCGCGACTGTTCGGGTGTGCAGCAGCGGTCGCTGTGGGTGGGAGAGGGAGGAGGGGAAGGGATTGGCAGTGGAACGCTGTGGGGGGAGAGGGAAAGGGGGAAGGGAGTGGCGGCGGAATGCTGTGGGGGAGAGAGGAAAAGGGGGAAGGGAGTGGTGGCGGCGGAAGACCAGCACCAGCACCAGGCACCAGCACCGGCGACAGCCGCCAGCACCAGGCACCAGCACCAGCGCCAGCCGCCAGCACCACGCACCAGCGCCAGCGCCAGCCGCCGGCACCAGGCACCAGCACCAGCGCCAGCCGCCAGCACCAGGCACCAGCACCAGCCGCCAGCACCAGGCACCAGCACCAGCGCCAGCCGCCAGCACCAGGCACCAGCACTCGTGCCAGCCGCCAGAACCAGGCACCAGCACCAACGCCAGCAGCCAGCACCAGGCACCAGTGCCAGCACCTGACACCAGCACCAGCGCCAGCCACCATCACCAGGAACCAGCACCAGCACCGAAGCGAGTCACCAGCACCAGCACCGCCACCAGCGCCGTTACACCAGCACCAGCCACCAGGACCAGCGCCAGCCGTCAGGCACCAGCACTAGTGCCAGCCGCCAGCACCAGGCACCAGCGCCAGCCGCCAGCACCAGGCACCAGCACCAGCGCCAGCCACCAGCACCAGGCACCAGCGCCAGCCGCCAGCACCAGGCACCAGCACCAGTGCCAGCCGCTAGCACCAGGCACCAGCACCAGCACCAGCCGCCAGCACCAGGCACCTGTAACCAGCAGCCCCACCTGTGACCAGCAGCCCCACCTGTGACTAGCAGCCCCATCTGTGACCAGCAGCCCCACCTGTGACCAGCAGCCCCACCCGTGACCAGCAGCCCCACCCGTGACCAGCAGCCCCACCTGTGACCAGCAGCCCCACCTGTGACCAGCAGCCCCACCCGTAACCAGCAGCCCCACCTGTGACCAGCAGCCCCACCTGTGACCAGCAGCACCACCCGTGACCAGCAGCCCCACCTGTGACCAGCAGCCCCACCCGTGACCAGCAGCCCCACCTGTGACCAGCAGCCCCACCTGTGACCAGCAGCCCCACCCGTGACCAGCAGCCCCACCTGTGAAGAATTTGACCTGGACCACCGTGGGTGGGGAGGGGTCTAGAGGAAGAAAAGGAGGGAGGGAGTGCGGTTCCAGGGGGCGGTTGAAATGGGGGGTGAGGTTACAGGGGGTTGGTTGATTGGGGGTGGGGATATGGGCGTTAGTAAGAGGGGACGCTGCGGCCACCCCCCCACCTCCACTCCTCATCCCCCACTCAACCCCCCCTGTGTAAAAGGAGGTTAGTAAGAGGGGACGCCGCGGCCACCCCCCCACCTCCTCTCCTCATCCCTCACTCACCTCTTCCTTTGTTCTTATCTCCTCTCCTCTCCTGTCTCTCTCTCGCCTCCTCCTCCTCGCTTACTTCTCTACAGTCTTTCACAACGCCTGCAATACCCCTTCAGGGGGTGTGACTTAATCTAGCTATGTGCTGCAGGCAGTTAAGGGGGTGTGTCGCGATATATATTCATATATGTTTATAACTGCCTGTAGCTTTTGCTCTATTGTAGTTATGATTCCTTGTTGTTGGTGGTGCACCTTTGCTAGTTTGCTATATGTACCTTGTGTGCTATAGTGAACAACACACATTCTCACTTTCCCTTGGTGACAACCACCTCGACACCCGCTTGGCCTAGGCTACTAAGCCTAGGCCCTTAGTAAACCCCGGTTCTAGTTAACTAAGTATAGTAACAAAAGGAAGGGACAGTGACAACAGTGGCTAGCAGACGCGTGACAGTAGGGTTGGCAGCACGAAGTAAGTCTCACTCCGGGTCCAGACCGTCAGCAAGGGAGGACGCAAGAGGAGAAGGCAGAAGGAAACGCAGTGGAACAAAGGAAGGACGAAGTGCCATCTGGTGCGTGCCGGGGACAGGAGGAGGACGCTGATGCGGAACATGACGACCAGTGCGAGCAGCGCGAATAGGCGACGCAGGACGAGACGAAGGCTCACGACGCTTAGTAAGACCTCTGGGCTGCTCAGTGTAAGGAGAAAGAGCCGGCAGTGGGGAGGCTGGCAGTAGTTGCGGCTGTGACAGGTCAGGCGGTGGACACAGTAAGGGAGGAGTAAGGCCAGTAGAAGGCGGGAGACCAAGAACCTGCTGAAGCAGTGGAACGAAGTATGGTCGCGGCCGCACAGCGCCTCCAAAACCAGCTCCAAAAGCACCAGCACTCCAAGGGCCAGCACCTCCAGCTCCAAGGTCTCCACCTCCAACGCTGCAGAGATAACAGCTACAACGGGAGCTAGACTATGGGCTAGGCACGGATGCTCGCGTGATCTCTCCATTCCTTAGTCGTTTACTTGTGTGTTCTCTGCTTGCACATTCACGGGGAGAATTTGCAAGAGTTTCACTAGCAAAGATTGACAACGATGGTAGAAACAACATTGGCATCACAGACTACATCAGAGCTAGCTAGGCTGCTGGTCGACCTCCTGCGCAGCATGGTCGACTGCGCTCCAGCGCAGCAGCGCTCGCACCGCTCTAGTGTTGCGGAGTAGCGGTTCGCCAACGTTGCAAGTCCACGGTGTGCCAACGCTGTAGTAAGTTGGCTGCACAACGTTGCACCCACAGGACAATGGTGCACCTGCTTCGCAGATGCGTGCAGCTGGTTGGTGCGCCACTCCTTATCACGTGCACAGCGCAGACGCCTGGCAGACTCCACGCCAGCGACTGCGCCCACCAGCCACGTCGACCTTGGGATACCACCCCCGAGGCTGGCCTCGCAGACTCCACCTCGGCGACATTCGCGCACGTCGCCCGGGTATCCCGGTCGACCGGGAAACTACGCCCAGTCAACCAGCACAGTTCGTAGCCGACCACCAATGCCCGGCATCCCCAGTCCGGCGTTCAGGCGCCCAGGACGCCGTCCGAACCCCCATGTCGACGTCCAGACGCCCAGGACGCCGTGCAGACCTCCAGAGCGGCGTCCAGCCTCACATGACGCCGATCAGACGCCCAGGTCGGCGCCCGGGCCCCCAGGACGCCCAGGTCGGCGTCTGGGCCCCCAGGACGCCGTGCAGACGCCCAGGTCGGCGTCCAGCTTCCCAGGACGCCGTCCAAGCGTCCAGGACGCCAACCAGGCGTCCACGACGGCGTCCTCCTGCTCGGCGCCCTCCAGCCAGGCGCCCTTCAGCTCGTCGCCCTTGCAGTGGCCCCCGTGCCCACTGCTGCAGGTCGGCTGCAACCCCCGCACATCTGACCACGAGGTCGGCTCCGCCCAAGCAAGGACAGGGCCAAACAACACTCTCGTTGACACTCCCCTACCGCGTTCACGCTTGGGCCCCCAGCCTACACGGCAGTGTAGCTCCGAGAATAGCCCGTCGGCGTGCACCCAATACACAGCACGCAGGTCACCGCACCAGCCATGCAAGAGGGCATGGCACCTACTGCTGCACGTCGTCGTCGCCGTCGCCCACGCCAGCCAAGCGCACCTGGCCTATTGCGATGGAGCACCGGTTAAAGGCCGGGTAGTTCAAGAAAGTGGCTTTAGCAAGAGTTCAGATCTGAAAAGTGACGAGTTGTTCAAACCTTACCAACCCAACCCTCGCCCTACAACAATCCCCAACAACCCAAAGTGCTAAACTAGCAACACCAAAGGTGTTGTAGTGAATAGCAAAGGTTTGTTGGTACTTGTTGGGTGCGAGATCAATACCAGCCCGCAACAAGTCTAACCACCACATTTTGCCCAAACCCTTAGCCCACAACCAGCTAGAGTAAAATACCACAACCACCTACACAATCAACACTCCCCCTTGTTCGTGCTGGAGGTGGCTGAACACCACTGGGCAAAATCCTTCACTTCACTCCCCCTTGCCCAGGGAGGGGCGCCATCCACAGCATGAGGTCGTCAAGGCAGAGAAGCACCAGTCCTCCCACATTCTGCTCAGGCACCATGCTGACATGGGGCTGCATCCCTATCAGGGAAATGCACACACCATGCCGCTCAAAAGGAAGGGGTTTGGTGAGTATGTCTGCTGCTTGACGGTTGGTTGGGCACCACCGGAGGATCACCTCGCCGCTTGCCACCATCTCCCTGATGAAATGCCACCGAACCTGCATGTGCTTGGTGCGGCCATGGAAGCATGCATTCTGTGCAAGGGCAATGGCAGACTGGTTGTCCACAAACACAGGCACACCACCAGCAAACTCATGCCCAAACTCCCCAAACAGACGCTTGAGCCACACACCCTCCTTAATGCACTGACACAGACTGATGTACTCACTCTCAGTGGTAGACAATGCAACCACCGGCTGCCTCTTGCTCTGCCAAGAGATGGCTGCACCATTAAGGCAATAGACATAGCCGGTGTGACTTTTGCGATCAGCTGAATCTCCAGCATAATCAGCATCACTAAAGCCCACCAACTCAACCTGAGGCTTGCTGTGTGCGGGGTAGAATATACCTGACTTGACACAACCTTTCAGGTACCTTAGCACTGTCTTATCAGCCTGCAGGTGAAATGCCTTGGGACAAGACACCACCTTGGACAGCTGTGACACTGCATAAGCAATCTGGGGCTGTGTGGTCGTGCTTGCATACATGAGAGACCCCACAGTGCTTTGATAGAGCTGGACCAGCTCATCTCGCAGCAAGGGCTCCTCAGCATGTGCATGCACGTTGAAACCTGTAGGGAGAGGGGTACGCACGGGGTTAGCCTCAGAGAGGCCAAAGGACTCAAGCATGTTGAGAATGTACCTCTCCTGATGAATCAAGATGCCACTCTCATCACGCTCAATCTGCACCCCCATATAGTACTTAGCCTCCCCCAAGTCCTTCATGCGGAAACGAGAGGACAAGAGACCCTTCACCTCGTCCAGCAAGACCATGCTCGAAGACATGAGCAGAATGTCATCCACATAGAGGAAAAGGGACAGCCTGCCCTCATGCCTCACCAAGTGGTACAAGGCGGGGTTACACCCCGACCTCTCAAACCCAAAATCCATCAGCGCCTCGTCAAACTTGAGGTACCACTGCCTTGGAGCTTGCTTTAGCCCGTAGATTGATTTCCTGAGTCGGCAAACTCTGCCGGACCCATCATCAAAACCAGGGGGCTGCCTCATGTACAGCTCCTCTTTCAAGACCCCATGAAGATAGGTAGTGGTCACATCCATGTGATGGATGTGAAACCCTGAAGTTGCTGCCATCCCAACGGAACCTCTCAGGGTGGTAGGTTTACCCACCGGGGTATATACCTGGTCATAGTGAACGCCTCGTGTTTGAGTGTTCCCCATGGCCACCAACCTGGACTTAGGCCTCTCAATACTCCCATCAGCCATGTGCTTATACTTCCACACCCACTGACACCTCAAGACCTCCATTCCAGGTGGCACACAAGCTGGATCAGCCAGCTCAAAAGACTCGTTCACCCTATGAGACTCAAGCTCCTCACGCATGGACTCGACCCACTCAGGACGGGACAGGGCCTCCTTGACCGACTTAGGCTAATGCACTTGACCCATGAGATAGAAATCAAGCCCAAGCTCACCCCCCTCAGCATCCACAAGCATGCACTCCTCCAAATCATGCATGCAAGCATACTGTGCACTTGGTGTGAACCTTTCAGGTGGCCGGGAGATGCGTGTGGTGCGGCGCAGAGGTGATGCCCCCCCCTGCTCCAAACTTTGCAGCTTCTCCTTCCAAGTCACTCTCTTCATGGGGGACCGTGGTGACTTGGACAGCTGCTGCTGCAGTAGTTGCTGCCACCTACCCACAGGAACAGGTGGTGTATGCTCCTGTGGTGGCTGTTGCGGCTTCTCTTGTTGCTGCTGCTGCCCCTGTGGCTGCTCCGGGTCATGGGCTGGTGCGTTAGGGTCAGGGGTAGAACCAGCAATTGGTGACTCCTCATGGTGAGGTGCAGCTGCCTTTTGTTCCTCTTGCTGCTCCTCTACCTCCTCTCCAGGGTCCTCCCATGCCCCCTCAAAGATGGAAGAGGTGTAGGGATCCTGAAGGGAGTTCCCAACTGTACTAGCACCATGCTCCTTCCACCCCTTATAGCTCAGCCCCTCGTGGAAAACCACATCCCTGCTTTCCACCACCCGCTGATCCGCCAAACTCCACAACATCCAAGCTTTGCTCCTCTCCAACACCCCAAGAAAAATGCCCCATTTTGCCTTAGGATCCAGCTTCCTCCGTTGCTGGTCGGGCACTTTGTACTGCGCCATGCACCCCCACACTCGTGCCATGGACACACTAGGCACCTTCCTGGTCCACAT